TTAAAGTTTAAGGGTTACAGTTTAAAGATTTCTAGGAGGCAAAGGAACAAAGACAAACTTTACCTATTTAGAATGGTTTTATATCAATAAAGATATTCATAATAAACAATTTGGATCTACCTGATTTTCTTGCTAACAAAATAGCTTCTGAATAGCTGGCATTTTCCTATTATATATCTATAAACTTTAAAGATTACTATGTATCAAAGGCTGATTTAAAAAAATGAAATCATCTCAGCAAATTTCAAGGGAAAAAAAAGAATCAGGTGGCGAGCCACAACATAACAAATGTGCGTACTTCTTTGTTGATGAATACAAAGCATTCAAACTTCTATTTTTGTAGTTTCCTTCAAGCACTAGCATAAAATAAATCCAGTAGTAAGTAAAATAAATCTGACAATTAATATAATAGGTTTTCAGGGATCACCTAAGATATTGCTATGGATTATGTGAATACCCTGTACATATTTCACATTGTCACTGAGTCAAGAAAAATCAGAAGACAGGATATCTTCCATTGACATCAAAATAAAATTTGAAAGGTTTGCAAATTAAGTAGGGATTAAATTTAAAAAAACTTTCTTTTCAATAGTAAACACTTATTCCAAAAGATTGCTTAGTAATGTGAAAATAAGAGAACCAGTTTTTTTCTTTCAAAACTTAAAAGATGCTGCTCTGCTGTCAACTTGCCTGCATTGTTTCTGATGACAAGTTTGATATCATTTTTCTCTCTTTTCTTCTCTATATAATGAGTCTTTTTATCCCCCCTGACTACTCTAAAGACTTTCTCTTTAACACTGGCTTTAAGTACCAATTTGATTATGATGTGCCTTGGTGTAGTCTTGTTTCCTATGCTTGGAGTTGTCTGGGCTTCTTGGACCTGTGAGGTCATATTTTTCATTAAATTTGGGAAAATTTTGACCATTATTTCTTCAAATACTTTTTTTTTAAAAGGTTTTATTAGGGAATTGGGGGAGGGGAACAGCATTGGGGAATCAGGGAAGAGGAACAGACAAGTTGCTGTCCTTTTGTTCTTCAGTCTAGTTGTGGAGGACGTCACTTCACTGGCCCATATTAGTATTATCACTGCGCTCTTCCTGGGTGAGGCAGTCACTAGCCAGCAATTGGACAGCCGCTCACGGTGGCCCACAGCAGCTCATGAAAGCGCATGCCCGCTGCCGGCCAGCCTCACTGCAGCCTATGCCATCGCCAGCGACTCATGGCTGCCCAGCTCCAGGACGAGCTGTTGTTCACCATCTTAGCTGTAGAGGGCGCAGCGTCACTGACCCTCATATGGGATCCCAAAAGAGTCCCTGCTGCTCAGAGCTGGCATCCCAAGCCAACTCTTAACCAATGCGCCACTCGGCCGGCCCCTCAAATGTTTCTTTTATTCTCCCTTCTTTCATTTGGGGATTTCAATTACTTGTACATCAAGCTGCTTGAAGATGTCCTGCAACTCTTTTTTTTCTCCCAGTCTTTTTTTCTGTTTTATTTTGTATAGTTTCTATTGCTATATTTTCAAGTTTACTAATATTTTCTTGTACGATACCAAACCTACATCAATCCCACCAGATATTGCAAGACATTAACATCTCTTGCCTGGGCCGGCCGAGTGGCGCGATGGTTAAGAACTGGCTTGGGACGCCAGAGGTCCCCGGTTCGGATCCCACATATGAGGGCCAGTGACACTGCCCTCCACAGCTAAGATGCTGAACAACAGCTCAACCTGGAGCTGGGCTGCCGTGAGTCGCCGGCGACGGCGTAGGCTGCAGCCCCTGTGGCAGTGGGTTGCCATGGGCTACTGTGTGTGGCCAGCAGCCAGCATGAGCGGCCAGCAGCCACTGTGAGCGGCCGTCCAGACGCCGGCGACTGATTTGCCTCGCCCGGAGAGAGTGCAATGATGGTGCCAACTTGGGCCAGTGAAGCAACGTCCTCCACAACTAGACTGAAGAACAAGACGACAGCAACTTGTCTGTTCCCCTTCCCCCAATTCCCCAGTGCTGTTCCCATCCCCCAATTCCCCAATTAAAAAAAAATCTTAAAAAAAAAAAATCTAGGGGAAAAAAAAAAAAACATCTCTTGCCTAAAGAATATATGATATGGGGATATTATAATTTTTAATTCCTAGAAATATGATTTGAGTTTTTTAAAAATTATCTTCATGTGTCTACTGCACATGTTCAATCTTTTATTGGGTTGTAGGAAAAGTCATGACGTATTGTTTCTATGTTTTTTCCGACAACCCAATAACTTTGTAGCATATGGAACATAGTTATAAAAACTGTTTGGATGATCTTTTCTACCAATTTTACCATATGTATCTTTTTTGGGGTAGTTTTGGTTGGTTTTTCCCCCTCAGCATGGATCTTACAATGACCACTGCTGTCCTCTACCAAAACAGCTGCTGGAATGCAGGCACTGCATTTAAGGGGTCACTTTAAGACCACAATGACAGTAATTAAATCAATTTTTTAATTATGTAATCTTGGAACCAAGCAGCTATACTTTTCCTTCCTAGTAAATAAACAATTTCATTTTAAAATGAAAAAAATTTTTGAAGCTAGATTGGTTTTGCTTTTAAATAATAATTCATAATCATCGATCAGCAAACACTTACATTTGAAATTACAACAAGACACATCTAGATAGTTCTCAGAAAAGTTTCTAATGTTAAAGACATCATAGTACAAGAATGATATAATTACTGAAGATACATAATTTACATTTGTAATGTGGACGATATAGTAAAACCAATTTTGTTTGTTACTGAAAAGTTATTGAAGAATTAGCACTGTATTCACAATTACATTTATTCAAGGCTAAGACTAAGAGTTAAGTCTAAGGCACTGAAAATCTTAGTAGAGATTAAAATATAAATCTACATCAAATAGCTAGTGTGATGACTGATTTTGAATAAAATCAGCCACTTAAAAAAATAAGTTCTATAAATCAATATTACTATAGTTAGAATAATGAAAAATTAGTAGCTCTCCCATAAAATTTAGGATTAGAAAATTGAATCAAGAAACTTCAAGTGGTGCCAGCTGAGTGGCGCAATGGTTAAGAGCTGGCTTGGGATGCCAGAGGGCCCCGGTTCGGATCCCACATATGAGGGCCAGTGACACTGCCCTCTACAGCTAAGATGCTGAACAACAGCTCGACCTGGAGCTAGGCTGCTGTGGGTTACCAGCGACAGCATAGGCTGCAGTCCCCTGCTGCAGTGGGCTGCCATAAGCTACCATGTGTAGCTGGCAGCCAGCGTGAGCGGCCATCCAGAGGCCGGCGACTGATCTGCCTTGCCCAGGAAGAGCACAATGATGGTGCCCGCTTGGGCCAGTGAAGCAACATCCTCTACAACTAGACTGAAGAACAAAACAACAGCAACTTGTCTGTTCCCCTTCCCCCGATTCCCCAGCGCTGTTCCCCTCCCCAAATTCCCCAATAAAATCTTTAAAAAAAAGAAACTTCAAGTGTTAGTTCTAAAACTATGCTCCTACACTACTCTTGAGATAATATTTCCCTTACCTTCAAAATAAAGTAAGAATTAAAATTACCACTATTGGGTTGTTGGAAAAGTCATGATGTATTTTTTCTATGTTTTTCATTGCAAAAATACAACATGACTTTTCCGACAACCCACTATATAATGTTACTGAGGATTCTACATATAATGAAAAACAGATTTGGGTAGATTCATTTGCTAACAAGAGATCTACCAGACTAACTGGTTTTAATAAAGTGTGCAAAAAGCTGATGACTAAATGGAAGCAAAATACCTATTATTCATTTAAAAGTTCAGGATCTCATGAAGAATGTTATTATATTTTTCTGTAACATCAAATGATACAGTTGATACTTAAAAACAAAGGAGGTGAGAGAGGGGATAAGACAAACTGTTAGGTAATACCAAAAGGCTAGCATCACTCCAAGTGAAGAAAACACAATTTCCATGTAGGATACCAATTAGCAGTGTCATTTCAGAAGTAACTCCAGAGGTATAGTCACATTAAATACTTCACTAGACTACTACATATTAGGGAAGGAAAGGAATGGTACTAAGAGCAAAAAAAAATAAAACGAAATCATTTTTCAGCTACAGGCTCTGAGAATCCATTATTCCAATTTTCCCCTCATTTCTCAGATAAGACAACAGCTCTTAAGAGACAAAGTGACTAGCTCAAGGTCACAATTAACAGCACACACAGGACTAGAATTCAGGTCTTATGAATCCTTGGATATTTTTCTCTACACTATCTGCTAAGGAAATGCTCTCTAGCATAAAAGCAAAGTAACATGGATTAAACTCAAACACAACTTAAAAGAAGGCAGTCAGAGCAGTGTAGTATTAGCTATACACTAGGACGAAGCTCTTGTGGGTTAATATGGTATAATTCAGGGAGTGAATATCCTGAGCAGACTGAAATAACAGTAGCCAACACACAATAATTACTAGGTGTTCACCATTATCCCATGACCATTTACATATTAACTTATTTATTCTACTTTTGAGGTAGATATTACTGTTGTTCTCATTGGCAAATGAGGGAAGAAAGCACAATGAAGTTAATAACTGGTGAGGCCAGGAGACTAGAAGTGATTCCAAGAGAAAAAGAGGGAAAAGTTGATGTATCTATTTTATATTCAGGTTATCAAAGTATTTAAAAATTCAAGATTATTGGCATTACAATTTAAATAAGGTTTGAGGGTCACATGTTTTCTATAAGTAAAAGGGTAAAACCTCTGCTCTGCTAAAACAAGAAACAATTATTTCAGATCAAGAGTTAAACTCCACTTCCTGTATAAGGAATACAATTTATCTGTTTCAGGAATACATTTCAAATTTCAAGTCAGTTAGCTTACATTAATTTTCCAACAGGGGATCCATGAATAGATAGATGAATGCATGGATGAATGGACTGACCAATATTTTCAAACCTACAGAAAAACCTATAGTGATATATGATTCTCCCAAATTTTTAGAAGCTACTTTTGTAACTTACCATTTTTTTCCTCTTATCCTGTTCTGTGGGTGGTTCTTCGTCTTCTGTTACTTTTGGTTCTTCCAGATGAGACATCAACATACAGCTGCAGTCAAAAAAAATTTTTAAATAAATTTTTTAAAGTCTATGACATACTAAAACCAAACCCTCAAAATCAGAGAACATTAATACTTCTATGTACCAAAATATGAGGAATAGCAAGATAAATTAGATTTATAAGTAAAAAAATCTTTAATGACAAAAAGATATCTCACTTTAAAAAGGGCCACATGAAAAAAATTTAGAGCATTTTACTTGAGCATTTAAGGTAGTAAATGATAAGAAATTTATTTATAGGCAACTTTTGAACCATATATCACTTGACAAAAAAGCACAATGTACCCTTTATATCTTTCTAAAACATGATACAAACATTTAAAATTAATATTTCTTCTTTTACCACTAATCTTCATATGTCTGTAGATTATTACACATTTCTAATAGCAGTAATTTAAACAATAACATAATTAAAACATTATTAATTATGTAACAATAAACTTTGTGCTCCAAATGACATTACTACTATGCTAAGAAGAGCTTGTCCCCAATAGCACTTGTCCCTACAGCATAGTTATAAATCATTTTATTTTGATTATCTGCATCACTGCTCTTCACCATTAGCAGAGATAATAGAAATATAGTTTCCTATTCAGACAACACTGGTTCCAGGAAGACAAGAAATGAATATTGTCTAGTGAATCAAGCTGATGGAACAAACCTCCCTGTTTCCTAATTTCGAATAGTAGGAGTCAATAATTTATCAGTCATAGGTTCCTAACCAATAAACTATAGCAAAGAACGCTTAGTTTCTCTTACATCTTGTAGCAAGTACAGGGGAAGGACAGAGGAAAGACAGGAAATACAGGGAAGGACAGGAAGTACAAGGGAAGGACAATTCCTGACTCAGTTGTGTAAATAACTTTTAATTCATGGTTAAGGACAGGTGCTGACACCAGAAACCTGATCAGATCAGAATCACTCTTGCAAGGAACACTGAGTGTCCTTTTCCTCGTATACCCCATCATTAAAAATTTTTTTGGAACAAGTACCTCTGCCTCAGTCAGTGCACAGTGGTGAGATAAAACACTAAGAATCTTAAATTGAAAATAAGAAACCCTGAAAAACAACAAGCGTTCAATCCCTATCTCATTGCACGGCCTTAACCTCTTGGAGCTGCAATGCTTCCATCCCCTACGACGTAATGTGATGTAGCACATGGGGTTGGCTAAGGGACTCGGGTTGAGAAAATTATGACATTATTATCTCAACCCAAAAGCTATTTAATAAAATGAAATGTCTAGATCCCAGTTTGTATTTCAGAACTAAATAATAAGATGGGGTTCTTTCTCACTAGCTATTTGATGCTTGCTATAGATTTGAATTCTAATGCAGTGAAGCTAGGTCTGCATGGAAGTATGCTTTATAGTGCATCAAATTCTTTCACTGAATTCCAAAATCTGTTAACTTACTTGTGTAGTAAAAACTCTTCGTTCCCCCTTCTTGAAATTAAAAGATGAATCACAGTAATAAAGTATACGTATTTTGTTGACAAAGATTAAAGATAAGGAGTCATGTTTTGCATAAAAGGTATGGTGAGAATTAACTGATTTCAAATAAGCTAAAATGTGTGGGTTATGAATGTAATAATAGTGATAGTAATAAATAATAACAGCAGTTTAAACTGGGAATGACTGACAATGTGAACACAGCCACCCGCTCCTCACATCCTATACTCACTCTACACTCACTCACTGAATACATGCAGGCACTCTAGCCCACTATAAGATTCTTTCCCAACAAGAAACTCCAACCAGACAAATACAACCAACAGTGGTAGCATGCAACATAAAACCTTTTAAATCATTATTATGTTTAAACAGTACTTGTACTAACACCTTTAACTTAAATCTACACAAACTCACTTCTGAATGTTATAATAAAACTAGAACTGACAACACTATTCAATTGGTCTGTGTAGTGGACCATTGAGTTGCCTATATAACCGTCCTCCTTCCTAATGGAAGGACCCCTGACTTGCTCCAGTATGCCTCTCTTCCATGCCACACAAGCTTCAGGAAAAGCCGATGCAACCCCAGTGCCAGGGACTCAATAAGCAGTCATGGCAATACTACTCCCCTGGTCAATGACTGCTTTCAACAGCAGCGTGTTTAAGAAATCCTAGCCAATTATACATGAAGAGAAGTCTGATGAAAGACTTCTAAGAAAGTCTTTCCTTTGATGTTAAAACAAAACAAAACCACCTCTGGGTGGTAAACACACAATGTGATATATAAATGATGTATTACAGAATTGTACACCTTAAATCTATGTAACTTTGCTAACAATTGTCACCCCAATAAACTTTAATTTAAAAAAAAAAGATACAAGGATGGGGTGACCGGTTAGCTCAGTTGATTAGAGCATGGTGCTGATAGCACCAAGGTTGCCGGTTCAATCCCCACATGGGCCACTGTGAGCTGCACCCTCCCTAAGAGAGTCAACTATGGCATTTTAGCATGAAAGCAATGTGTAACCAATGACCATGGCTGTTCCCCAATAAAATTAAATAAACAAACAAACAAAAAAGATGTAAGGAAAGAGAAGATTACTGGTACTGGCATTGGTGTGAACCGTAATGCCTACAACTACTTTGTGACGATGAGGGAAAGTAGCCTACAAATGAAGTTAATGTGCTGAGGGGATGGAGTAGAAAGAACCTGGGTCTTTGAAGATGTGGTGAGGACCCAAATAGCTAATCCTAGAGCCACATACCTAGAGTTGTTTTGTTGTAAGAGATAACTAATTCTTTATTGCTAAAGCCAGTTGACTCACCATTTCTCTTACCAACAAGCTAAAAATCTTTTTACAGTCCCTTATATAAATACCTTATCAAAAATTCATTTCTGTGCTCATGCCCAGTTTCCCTCTCCCGATACACCCATTTCACTTCTACTTGAAAACAGGAACTATGTAATTCCTAATGTTTCTCTTCTTACCCTGGTAGTTAGCGAGCTCAGGGCTCAGTTTTACAGGCATATGCCACAGGTTTCCCAATCAAGGATTCTTCTTCAAATTCCTTCAATCCTGTGTTAATAGTTTTTGGTCAGAATAAGCACATCCTTTTCTTATGCATTGCCTCAAATCCTCTTATGGCCACTAGATTGAATATTAGCAGCTAACTAAATGTTGTATAGTAGCAGTATAGACAAAGTGCCATGAAGGAACAGAGAAGGATGCAATGAATTCTTCCTCAGAGTTCAGAAAGGACTCTAGGACTCTTAGGGGCAGGTATTTGCCAAGCAGGGCAAGACAGGACTGAGGGCATGACATGCCAAGTGGAAAAACTGTTACGAGTCAAGCAAGGTATATAAAAGGAAATGGCACATATGGGGAATGATGAAGAATCTAGGGAGGTAAGAGAAAAGGCCAGTGATGATATAAATTGAGGGAAGCATAGAACAGCACTCCATCAACTTTATTCTGTAAGAAACTGGGCTTTTAATTTCAAGAAGTGGGGCAGAATGGATCAGAAAAAGAAAATTGGAGAGAGACCTCCAAGGAGGTCACTGGGACCTATACCAGTTAGGATAATATACAAGTGATGTCAGGATCAGGGAACCAAAAATTCTTTTTGTCTTCTCTATTTTATTCTGAAGAACCATCTGGTGAGTCAACATATCAAGTGAAGGAGAAAAATGCTTATAGAGCCTAAATTTTACTTTTGTTTCAAATAAAACTACTATTTCCTTTATGGCCAGTATGTTTTACACTCTTTAGCTATAAAAAACACAATTTGAGTCTTTTTTTAATAAATTTTTGTGCCTCTAAGCATCCTAAAATGCTGACTAAACCATCTCTTCCTTTTTACTTCCCAAACATTGGCAAGGGGTTGTCAATCTCATTTCCAGATTGCCTAAAAACAAAAAATAATTTAAGGAAAAAAAAGGGAAACCACTCTAACCACAAGCAGAAGGCAAATTCCAAGACTCATTAATATATTTTCCTGGCTTAATGAAATAAGAATCCTACTAATTAAAATACAAACATATAAAGAAATCCATGCAAAAGAATGAAACTGGACACTATCTTGACCACACACAAAACTTAAGTCAAAATGGATTAAACACGTGACTCAAGGACCTGAAACCATAAACTCTGAAAAGGAAACATAGGCTTACGGTAAGCACATTGGCATCGGTCTTGACAATGATTTTTTTGGATCTGACTCCAAAAGCAAAGGCAACAAAAGCAAAAATAAATAGTTTGATAGGAATATCAAACTAAAAAGCTTCTGTACAACAAAGGAAATTATCAACAAAATGGAAAGGCAACCTATTGAGGGGGAGAAAATATTTGCAAATCATATATCTGAAAAGAGATTAATATCCATAATACATAAAGAACTCATACAACTCAATGGCAAAAAAAAAAAAAAAAAGAAAGTCCAATTAAAGAATGGGCAGAAGATTTGAATAGACATCTTTCCAAAGAATACATACAGATGGCCAACAGGTACATGAGAAGATGCTCAGCATCACTAATCATCAGGGAAATGCAAATCAAAACCACAATAAGGTATCACCTCAGGCCTGTTAGAATGACTATTATCAAAAAAACAAGAAATAAATGTTGGCGAGGCTGTGGAGAAATGGGAACCCTCGTGCACTGCTGACAGGACTGTAAACTGGTGCAGCCACTATGGAAAACAGTACGGAGTTTCTCAAAAAATTAAAAATAGAACTACCATTATGATCCAGCAACTCCACTTCTGGGTTTTTATCTGAAGAAAACAAAAATTGGTTTGTAATCACAAGAATTTGAGGTTTTTACTTTATCTGAATTCCGATGTTCTCGAAAGTTAAGATACATGCCAGACACATTTTGTTTATTATATGATTAACAAGATTCAACAATATATATCTGCTCTCTATATTTTTCAACAAAATATGATTCAAATGGCAATCTTTCCATTTGCTACAGATGGTTTTATAAAGAGCAAAGAAAACGGGCTCAATACACTACTGATGAGAGTTCAAGTGGTCTGGAATCTCATGAAGCCATGCTTATCATTGTATGAAACATGCCCTTTATCAATAGTAATAAGAGGAAAGGTGTGGCAACTGTACAGGCTACAAGAGGATATAGTGATTAATTTAAAAACAGAATTTCAAATTAATAGTTATATAAATGTGAGATTATCAGCATTCCTGATAACATGATTTTTTACTATTCTTCCAAAGAATATAATTTTAACTATTCTCTTTTGGAACTAGTCAAGTACCAGGTGCCAGCGATGCTCCAACCAGGCAAATACAAAAACAGGATGCTTACCCATCCCCTTTTCCCCAGAACTTGCCTGAAAGTCAGGGAAACTTTGTTTGTTGAAAAAAAGAATATATTAAAAAAATCTTTAAAAAGGAATTCACATGCTAAAATACACTTGAATTTTTAAAAAAACATGTCAAATAATAAAATAATTAGACCAAAGAAGCCTAATTCAGAATTTCACTACAAAAAAATAAAGCTGATCTCAAGATCAAACAATAAATATTATAAGCAAAATAACAAAAATGTTTCTTTAGAGGAGACAAAATTAAAAAGTTGCTATACTGTTCTTATATGCTGATGATGAACCAAAAGCATGCAGGTTATAATTAATTATCCCCAAAGTAATTGTCCAAGTACAATTAAGTAAGTGATCCACCTACTCTTTATAAGTTCCTGTTTCAGGGTCTTCCGTCATGACATCATGGAGGCCCTCCACTGAGATGTTGATAATCCCACAGAATTTATCTTGGATAACACTAGAATAAAAGAAGAGCAAAACAGGTCAAACTGGAGTGTTTCAACAGGTAAGCCTCTTGAACATGAAGAGAAATTTCAGTTCTAAAATACAGAAGAAACTTTCAGAATATATTTCTTAAAGCATAAATTTTATCTTGCATATAACATTAAAATTTTCTTTTTCGCTAGCTATTAGTGTGTTTAACTACTAGAATAGATTAGATAGGAAAGATATTTTAATATTGTTTATAATAGGTCTTGTGTTGATTTTATAACTAAAAAGATAAAGATAATGTTAAACATGAAAATCTCTACTCTTCTAAATACACTATCAAGAAAAAAAAAAAGACAGGTATAGACTGAGAAAAAATATTTGTACACGTATCTGACAAAGGACTTGGATCCCAAATAAAGAACTCTGAAAACTCAGTAAGACAAATAACTCAATTTAAAAATGGGCAAATTTTTGAACACTGCCAGAGAATATGTATAGATGTCATATCAGTACCTAAAAAGATGCTCAAATCATTAGTCATCTAAGAAATGCAAATTAAAACCACAATGAGATTTTAATTAGAAGTAAAATTAGAAAGAGCAACCGTACCAAGTGCTGGCAGGGATGAGAAGCAACAGGACTTCCTATACATCGCTGGTAAAAATAAAAAATGGCACATCCATTTTGGAAAACATAGGCAATTTTTATAAAGTTATACACACTCCATATAATCAAGTAATCCCATCCCTAGGTATTTACCCAAGACCAAAACAAGTACCCCCAGATCTGTATGTGAATATTTATGGTAGATTTATTTATAAAAATCCAAAACTGCAAATGACACAAATTTCTATCAACTAATGAATAGATAAACAAACTGTGGGACACTTACTCACTAGAATAGCAGTCAACTATATATATATATATATATATATATATATATATATATTTTTTTTTTTTTTTTTTTTTAAGCTGAGCCATCCTGCTACCTGTTGGCAGCTCAGCGGCTGCTCAGCTCGGGCTGGACTCGAACCGCTGTTGCTCAGAGCTCAAACTCTTGAGCGAGCTCTTAACTAACTGAGCCACTCGGCCGGCCCTAATAGCAGTCAACAATAAAAGAGAATAAATTACAGACACACGCAACAACTTGGATAAATTTCAAAAACATTACACTAAGAGAAAGGCTCCAAAGGCTACATGCCATGTGACTCCATTTATGTGAATTCCTGGAACACAGTTATTTGATCAGTGGTTGCCAGGCAAAAAAAGAGAAGGAAACGTTCTATATCTTGAGTGTGGTAGTGGTTACATAGTATGCACATTTGTCAAAACTGGAGGCTAAAAGGGGCTTTTCTGTATTGAAACTACACCTTAATAAACATGACTTGAAAAAAGCGGAAATACAAACCAGCAATTGGCACACTAAATTATACTATTTGAATTGAAAAATAACTGAATAAATGATAGCTTGTCTCCACAGAACATACAGTATCCTCCCTACAAGGGATAGACCCTGCTTCTCATACCGCATTAACGTGTGTAATTAAAGCTTTAAAAGTTCAGTACAGTAATTCCCAAGGTTAGCACACTTTGGATCACGTTCCCACCTTTGTAAAGTCAAAACTCGTCGTCTACACATTCAAATGTGATCAGATTTTAGAGAATTAAATCACCAGATGGTCAAGTAATAACTAGTTGATATCATTCTGATACATTTTAATCTGCATATTCCATCCTATTGCGGAAGTAAAGGTATCTGACGTCACTGTATTTCCTAGAACGAAAAAATCGCTAAAGAAACACGCACAGTCTATCTTAGTTTAGTGAGAAACACCCTGGAAAAAAGTAGAAAACCAAGATTTTGCACTAAAAGTTCAGCCACTCAAGTGCGATCTGACTGCAGTTAATTTGTTTCTTTAGGCGTTGGGTCTCCTTGTCTGTAAAATGAAGGCTGGACTTAAGTACAGGAGATACATGGCGGAGGAATATTGCCATCCGCCCTCCCCACCGCAGGTCATTCGCCACTAACCCATCACAGCGAGCTAAGAGGCGGGGCCCCAGGTTCCTGCTTAACAGCGGCACTGTGCACAGCGCTCAACCACTGATCTCAATACGATAAAAAAGACAAAACCCCCTACACTAAGCTGCCAAGGCCCTTCACAGGGCTTGTATCGATATTAGGAACAATCCACTCAGGCGGCAGCCATCACATCCAAGCAATCAACCCCACACCTTCCAGGGAAACCAAAAATTTCACAAGAAGTCAATGAAATTGCTGAGTACTGTGTATTTCCTCAAAAGGCTGATTATGAATTTTCCCAGCAGATATCTGGCAACTGGAGTCTGCGCATGTTCTGCTTGGCGAGCGAATGTTAATTACAAGCGAGTGTAACAGAGATAAAAACAGCTTACTCTGACAGCTAGCTCATTTGATTATAGGTTCTACTTCAAGTTATCACACTGATCAATGTTGGTGCTCCAGCATGGGCACATGTTTTTGCAGAGAAAGTAAGAAGTTATATCTTTGCTGTATGTAATTAGAAAAAAATAATTAGCAATATGCTGAATTAATAAAAAATACAGTTCTAGAGCCTCGGCCTCAATTCACACAGGCACTTTCACAAGACCAAGCCTTCAAGGCTGAGAACAGATTGCAATAAACTGCAGCATGCATAGAATAAAGCTTTAACGGCACAATGCTTGCCAAAAATCACTAACTTCACCCCTTTCTCACAAAAGATGAGATTATTTAGATGACACTGCTGCAACCAGAATAAAGCTTGAAAAGTTTTGAAAAAAAATCTGAGTTAAGGAACCTGAGATTTATAGAAAACCAAAAGACAGAATCAGTGAACGATGGACAAAAAAAGTGTTAAGAAAATTAAAGAATGGGTAATGATATTTACAGAAGCAGACTGGACACACACCACAGGATACTGGCCCGTCTGTTCAGCCTGCACGGGCTGTTCAGGAAGAGACTGCTGTCCCGGTCCGTGCTTATTCAGGCTGGGGGAACTCAGTCATGTTATCACTGGTGTTCCCGCTCCCTCTCCCCTCCCCTGCCTCCAGCTGGATTTCTAGCTGTACCATGTGAGACGCTTAGAGAGACGGCTGCCTAGCAGGGGAAGGGAAGGGAGGTGAGGCAACCTCGCTCAGTCCGTAGGTCAGTCATTTTGTTCATTGGAATGTGACGCATGCTGCACAGAAAAGGCCACAAGAGGCAGAGATCTAGCAGGAATTCACCAGACAGGGAAAACCATGCTCACCTGGGAATACCTATTAAGGGCCAGAGAGGGTGAAGCACAGGCGTCAAGCTCAGAAAAGCGGGGAGAATGACTATGGTCCAGAGCAGAAAGGTATGCTGGCTGGCTTTCAAAGAGGAGAGTTGACTCTAGAAAAGAAGAAGGACTAAAGAGAGTGGAAAGGAAGTATCCAGGCCATATTCTGGGATCAGTGAAAGGAGAAGTTACACATTAATTATCTCCAAAGCATTCCGGTTCAAACAGCACTCAAGAGGATGCACCTCAATTACCACTCATTAATTAGTCTGCAAAAAGGACCCCCAAATGTTAGGGATAACAAAAAGCCACAAGAGAGTTGTATTTTCCTGGCAAAAATAACATATATTTAAAGAAAGTAAGCATTAAGAAGTTATACATTCTTTATCTCCTTTTGTAAGTATTATAAAAATGTTACCCCAAATGTGTAAAAGTAACATTTTTAAAATAAAGTCTTTAAAATAGATGTCTTTTATACAGTATTCATTATGAAGTTTTGAATATTAAGCCTTCACTTTTTATTCGCACAACACTCTTTCAATCCTTATCTTTTACAAATTATCAATCTTGTTTTTCGTAATACAAGTCCTTCTGAATAAATGCTTTACAATTTGATTAGACACTTAAAATGAAAAGAATCAAAAGAGCTGTAAACCCTCAGAGGAATGAAATGAAAATAGGTTTACAGAAGAAAGGGAATGATAAAAGGCATGTACTTTGATAATCTCATAAACACTATCTCCTAAATACAAGCCAGGAACGAGATATTATTTGCTGGTTTTCTTTGATGAAAACCACCCCAAGTTTTTTCTTTTATATGTGTTTTTGGAATTATGAGCAATATTTTATTAGAATTCTTCTTACTGTGTCATCTTCTAGTTGTCTCTCATGCATATTCATTCAAATCTTGTGTTGGTTATAATGTGGAAAAAGTGAAGGTAGCCAGAGAAATCATGTAATTTTAGATGTCACTCAGTTCTTACCCTCTCAAACCAGTGCTTACTAAGAAGTGATAGTTCACATTAACTAGTACATAGCAACCTGAAGTCCCTGAAAAGATTAGCTCAACTCCATGATAGCTTCTATAGCACAGTAAAAACAAAAACAAGCCTCAGGAGCTAAAACACAAAACACAAACCGATTACAGACTATTGCAGCTGAAACTTTACATATCTTGGTAAAGTCCCATGAGCAAACTTCAGAAGACTGGCTCAGTGAGTATTAATAAATAGGAGAAGGACTTATACAAGGATGCCAATTAACTTACAAAGAAAGAAATGATTAGAACAACGGGTAATGTTACCCAGGCCAACTCTTCCTGATGAATAGGTCACCATGGTTAGGTTCATTTTAGCCAACATTTTATGAGCCCATATGTGTCAGCCATCACTACAGGGCCTGGGGATGAAAAAGATGCCCTCCTCAGGGAATTCAGAAATGAAAGACGCTTGAATCTAGTGCACATAATTTTGAATGTACACAGGGAAGTTGTTGCACATTTGAATGTTACCTGTTCTATGATTCAGAGGGGGGAAAAAACTGAGAAAAGCTGTGCTGTAAGCTCAGGAGCTCATTATGAACTAAAAGGCTGCAGGAACAATAAAGAAATCAAGCAACAAATAAGACTTTCTTTTTGTTGTTGTTGTTTTAAATCAAATTATGATATCCTGAACTGCCTTTCTCAGTTTTACAGGTATTTCCGACTCATTAGCTGGACTCCTCTAAAGTCAGTGTATCCTGTTACCTG